AATTAAATGTTTTACCAATGTAAAGTATTTAATATTAACCAATCATGATCCATTTAACTAACAACCCACTTATTTGTAAGTGCTGAAGTTACTTGTAATTTCAGCACCAGAGAGATTGAATTTAACTTAGAAATTAGTTGCACTCTCCCGAGTACTTCAGCAGCCGCAATAAACCAGTATACCCTAGATCTATTGAGCCTAGCAGAGACTAGTTAAACACCCTGAGACTAGGTAGTATAAGAGTAAGATTAGGATCGGTATTAGACTAAGAAGTTGCACGAATCTATCCGGCCGAAAATAAGATAGCGTGACGAGCAAACGGTGTACCCTATCCGAAATTACTCTATGAGTTATACACTCCAGCTATAACTCATCTGGTGCGACCATAAGTCTCGAACAAGACCTTACTAGATTAGAATTAACCAAAATAGATTAGAAATTAGACAAAAACATTTACAAAATGTTATACGACAATAATTAATTGAAATGTCTCTCCGACTCAATAGATCAGAGCCAATATTCCGAACCATAACAGAACTACCCGGAATTGGAAGAAGACCTCGAACCAGAGACGACATACGACAAAGCAGAAACTTGCCGTATAGTTATATGATAGTTCGGCAAAAGCCAGAACAAACTTTTGTATTTAGAATATTACTTGCAATGAATTTAGATTTCCATTTGCAAACATAAAATCTTGAAGTTACTCTTCAAAACCATTTCAGGCGCTAAACAAAATTAATATTATACAATAACGATTGATAAAAAGATCTCAGATCGTTCTCCTATAACTCTGCAGTATTATACAAAACATGTTTGAAAAATATTTATTGGAAAATAAAAATAAAAATTAGTAGCATGACAATAAATGGTTAGTAATCATAAATCATCCTGTTGTTCCAGCTTCATCACCTAAAACATAACAGCAATCATCAACTCACTAACATCATAAAACACTAAATCTTTCCTTTACACACATTTAAAATTTTATTAAAACTTAAATTCACTTAAATTTTAAATCAGATCATCAAGGCTTATCCTTGGATCTTAAAATATTTTCTACTTAATTAAATTTCAAACTTGATCATCAAGGCTTATCCTTGGATCAAACAGAACAACTTTGTTCTCCCCCGCCCACTTAACTAGTGTCTAACGACCTCAAAGGTTGATTCACTATCCAACCCTTTCTAAAAACCCAGGACTAATAGAAATTTTTCAACAAAACTAATCATTCAAATTAAGATAAACAGTGAAGAACTTCGGTTATTCATCCTTCACTTGATCCCCCCTCTTACCAGACCCAGGATAAATCTTAGACTTAGTAAGTTTAAAATGGTATCTAACGAACTACTCGCGTTCTAATTATACCTGAACCTTGTGGATCGATTTACTATTCTCCAACCCTTGAACACAATCACTACCCCTAAGTAAGATTAAGTAAGTTAACACCTTAGCTTATACTAGTCACGAGAAAGTAAAAATCATTCTTCGGAATCGATATACTTTTCTCTCCAACCCTGAACAAAAAGACCCAGGTTAAGCTAACCAAAAAATCGTAAGGACTAACAGTTTAAGCAATTAGAATTCACTTAACAATCATTTGCATCCGTCATCCTAAACCTTATGTCATTTAAAAACCTAGGAAATAAACAAACAATCGTTTTACACAATTGTGAAATAGATAACAAAAAATACGACCTTGTAATCACACCGCATACACAAACAGTTGGATACATTCACACAAAACGACAAACACTAAAGAGGAAAATCATAACAAAACAAAGACAAATAACAAGAAAAAGATTTTCAAAAAATCGAAACGCATTTTCAGAATCAGAAACCAACAGTTTAGACGAACTTTACAAACTAAAAGAATCAATAGATAAAAATTGCCCACTTCACGATCAATTATATTTCTCTGACTCAGAGACAACTTCAAATTCATCACAAAGAGGAAAAAGAAGAATAAAAAAGCAGTACAAACACAAACCAGTACATTTATACAATTGGAATCAACCAATTCGACACATTAATAATTACATATTAACAGTCATCGAACGGAAAAATGAGTTCAACGCACACCCCAGGTGACGAAACTCCAGATGATGATGAAATCTTTCCTTTTATAGTAGATGCAGATACTGATAGAGGACAACACATATTTTGTCAAAATTTACTCATAAATTTATTTGAACCCGGAATCAGTCCATGTAAAACAGAGTTTCCCGATGTAAAAATCAAAAGACAAATCATAGACCACTATCTAAAAGATATATGCAACATAACACAACAGTACGGAATCTACTCTATAGAATTCACTTCCCCAAACCATAATAATAGAACATATACTATTCAAACAGACGATCTTGATTTACAATTTTCAAAAGTTTTTTCAGAATATATAAAAAGCATACAATACCATAACTCACAAAGAGCAAACTCCATTTTCACAAATGAAGTTTTCGCAATAATATATAGTTATATTTCAATATTAGAAAACGAAATCCCATTAACAAATGTCTCACCGACAGATACATCTAAACATTTAAGAGTACGACATGAAATCACACTACTCTCTAGTTATTTAAACATTATAAAAGAAAATTTCACGAAAGACGACGTTTCACAACATACAAAACACGATCTACAAAAAATTTTGGCATGGTTCATAATAGATTATTTCACACACAATATTGATTTAATTGCACAAGCAAGAAAAAATTTTAGACCCCAAAATTCGAACGATGATACCGCCATCACCGAACAATCAGATTATGTTTGGGACCCCGAATGGTCTCACCCCGCATTTATAAACTTTCCACAATCAATATCAAGTCAAGCAATAGGTACAATATCTTACATAAGAGATTATGTAAGAGTAATACCTTTAACCATTGATGCAACACCATTAAACTATAATACATTTCTACCCGATACACAAAATAATAGTTTTAACTCTACAGTCATACACAACGAAAACCTCAATGGAACTAGGAATCTTACTCAACAAGATATACAGACACCATCACACTTCATAAATGAAGAAATTGTACACACAACA